AGAGAGAGAGAGAGAGAGAGAGAGAGAGAGAGAGAGAGAGAGAGAGAACACCAGAAAGCAAAGAAATTACAGGACCTTTCAAGCCTTTAGCATCTCTGCTTCAGAAACGTCTCCTGTCTCAGGGTTGGTGCAGCCTCCTAACACTTACTCTCTTCCCAACATGGATCAAGAGAGAACAAGAGCCATCCATCGGTTTTGAACTGAGAGGAGAGTTAATTCAGGTGTCTCCCACCTACTGAGCACTAGTAACAAACTTCCTTTGAACTGGACTTAAAATCTACTAAGACCCCTAATGATCAACCTGCCACAATAATTTTAGAAACTTTTCTTCATTTTACTTAGGTTCACTACACATTATGGCTTATTCAAACCACTCACAGATCTTGAAAAGAAATACACTGTGGGAGTATCTTAAGTAATAGAAGAACCTCAAGGTGTTATTTTTCATGGAAGCCTCTATGTGAGACCTCAATTTTTAAGAAACACCAATGAGATCCAAGCTACTTTACTAGTGTATATTACTTTAAAAACTATTTTAAGCTGTGTTTCCAAGGTGGCAATGGTGGCACTCAGGAGGCTAAAGCAGGGGGATAATGATTTTGTGGCCAGGTTGTTTGGAAAAACAAAAAACAAAAACAACTAGATTTATAACAAATAATTATGATTTACTTACATCCTCATTTTCTAAGAAAGCAAATCGGTTCTCCAGTAATCCAAAGGTTACAATTTAATCATAAAAGAGAAACCATATGCCAAGCACTGAACTATGTGGACTGATGATAAAGAAAATTGTTAAAAATGATGCCTAAGAAACAACAGGTCAAATAGGTAAAAGGTTAACTCCCCTCATCAGCCACGAATGCCACAGTCCAGAAGAAAGATCAGGCCTTGACCTAAGTCTCGATTACAAAGCGACAAATGAGGACAGAGGTAACTGATGCCGACAACCTACCAGGCAGGTTCAGCCTGCCTGTCCCAATATCATCCTATATGGAACCATAGGTTGAACAGCTCAAGGTAAAAAGAAAAAGTATTTATTCAGCAAAGCTCAGCACAAAAGGCAACAGTGTAAATTAGAAAAAGCCATTTATCTCTGTGTCAACTGCCAAAGGTTCCCTTCTCCTTCAGCTAAATCTCAAACTATTGTGTCTTGGGACATCTTTATACTTAAAACTTGCTAACAACTTCAGTTTCTTGGTGTTTTTAAGTATCTTATTACATTTAGAGTGTATATGTGCATGCCATGGTATGTGTACATGCACTGTGTGTGCCACTTTGTGTATTCCAGTGTGCATGTGAAGGTGAGAGGACAGTGTACAGAGACAGTTTTCTCCTTTACCATGTAGTTCCCTGGGATCGGACTCAGGCCATTAAATTGGCAGTTTGGCTTTCAGCATCTGAGCCATCTCATCAACCCTACAGTATTTACATTATCTAAACCTACTGGATTTCAACCTAGTAGAGTGCTAATAAATATTTAACAACCAGGTCCGAGGAAATGGGGATCATGACTTAGAGTTTTTGCTTATATCTGTATAAACTATGTATTATGCATCATGACTTGTTTCAGGCCGCAACTGGAAACCATATACACAAAGTTGAAAAAAGATGTACATATCTGGCTCTTGTAAGCCCATACAAGACAGCTCCAGAGGGGTTTATCTACTGATTTGTATCACACTAGAAAGTAAAAGGGAAAAATTACCAACCAATAGCTCAGCAATAGTAAATCTACTACATGCTATCATTTATGAAAAAGTTACATTTCTTTCAAAACAAAACTATTTCCTAAAAATAGTGATAGTACTTTTACTTTGAGGATTTTGTTTGTGTATATGTGTTTTCAGTTGGTTGGGGTTTGATGTTGTTTTTGAGACAAAGCTTCACAATGTATTCCTGGCTGGCCTGGAACTTAGTACAAAGAACAAGGTAGCCTCAGACTAACAGAGACCAGCTGCTTCTGCTGAGATTACAGACACGCACCACCATGGCAGACTAACAGCTTCTTTTTAATGATTAAGGTTTTTGTTGTTGTTTGATTTTGGTTTTCTTATTATTATAATTATTTTGCATAAATATAATATAGATTCTTTCCTTCTACCATGTGGATCCTAGGATTTGAACGACGCCATCAGGTGCCATGCAGCAACATGTACTTTAACCTGATGAGCCATATCATCAACTTTGGGCTTTTTTTTGTTTCTTTGAGACAGATTCTTGATATATAGCACAGGTTAGCCTTGAACTATATATACTATATATATTCATTCAAGAATGGCCTCAAATTCATGATGCCCCATCCCATCTCTGCCTCCCAAGTGCTGAGATTATAAGCATGCTCCACCACACCTGGCTTTAATGACTTGTTTCAATCAAATAGATCTAGACTCTTTTATTTTTCGTTTGTGACCCTAGCCTTTAATGGCAGAGCCATCTCTCTAGTCCCAGATCTAGACTCTAATTATACTTACACAATGAATCTGCAATGTGTTGCATTAGGTGATATGTGAAGAAAATCTGGACCTCACACACAGTGGGTTTTAAAGGGCAGGAGGATTACTATAGCTTTTCACAGGTGAGAAAGAATTTCTTCTTTGTCACAACTCTGAAACTCACAAGTGGTTGTTCCCGACTCTGAACAGATGACATTAACATCCATTGATCTGTATGTAGTCTTTGGATGGACCTTTAACCCACTCAAGATTATGCAACACCATGAAGTACTTCTAGGAAGGCACTGGCTCAGTGGACGACGCTAACGTGCAGCACAGCACCTTTCCTCCAATCACATCCCACCTCATGACAGAGGACCTCAGGGACATGCTGTACTGCAGTTCTTACTAGCCCATTCAGAAACTCTCACTTCTGAGGAGTGGCAATGGAGAAAAAAAAGGCTAATCATGCGTCTTGATGCCAGTAACACGGTTCAAGTTAAGACCAATAGTTTATCCTCCACCCATTGTTTTTGTCACACAAGTACAAATGCTAATAGAGAGTAAATAATATTTTATTATTATACATAAAAGACAACACCTTATTATTATGTATGAAAGCATCTTAAGAGTCTCACCCAAGGTTCTGCAGCGCACAGAACACTTTGTGATAGCTATTCTATAATAATGTTGTGTTACAATCTGCTGTTGCTTAAGTCAAATAGAGGCTGAGGCAGGCTGAGATTTCAGCTCTAGTAAAGCTTCACAGCCAGGACTCATACCCAGTGACACTGATGGTTTGTAGATCACAGACTAGCAAAATATAAAACATGCTTTTAACTTGTACAGAAAGGCAAAACAAAACCACTTTAACCCAAAGAGAAGACTTGGCTGACTGTCATAAGATGTTGTTGTTGTGTGCAGGTGTCCTTAGCCCACACTTGCTTTTCTGAGATAGGGTCTCAAACTCTGGGCCTTACCAGTTGACCTCCTCAGTAACTGAGACTAGAGGCACAGCATAATGCCAAGCTGGTGGTGAAAAAATATAAAACTATGACAGTTGCTCATATTGAACAACTTTACTCTGTAGAATTAGAGTTCTCTGACAAGTCCTGCCAGTGCATCTCAATGATTTGCTTTATTTTTTAATTTAAAAAAGTAAGACATTTGATGATAATAAAACTACAGCAGAGAAACTCAAGAATACTAGAAATATCCTCAAAAGTTGTGCTGTGCATAAAGGATCTGCAATCTATGTATTCACTTCCTGTGAAGAAACACTCCAGCTTCAACAGATGAGATCATTTGAAGAACTAAAGCAAGAATGGATCATAAGCCTTAAATATATATATTGTATATTTTATACACACACACACACACACACACACACACACACACACACACACACATCCTAGTTAGGTTGCTATTGCTGTGAAGAAACACCATGAGCAAAGCAACCTGCTGAGGAAAGGGTTCATTTCAGCTTATACTTCCAGGTAGCAATCCACCACTAAAGGAAGTTGTAGAATCAGAGCAGGAATTCAAGCAGGGCAGGAACCTGGAAGAAGGAACTGATGCAGAGGCCATGCAGGAATTCTGCTTACTGGCTTACTCCTGATGACTTGCTCAGTCTACTTTTTATACCCCAGGACAACCAGGGGTAGTGACACCCACAATGGGCTGGGCTCTTCCCCCATCAATCACTAACTTAAAAAATTCTCCACAGGCTGATCTTCATTTTCTTAATTGAGGCTCCCTCCACTCAGATACTTTCAGCTTGTGTCAAGCTGACATAAAGATGTGTGTGTGTGTGTGTGTGTATGTATGTGTGTGCATGTATATATGTATCTAGAGAGAGAGAGAGGGAGATCATGCTTTCAGTCACTCTATCTTTCAAGTATCAGTCTGAGGACTCCATATTAAACAATAGTTCTATCAGAAATGGTTTAGAAATACCTGATGCAAGCCAAGATGAGTCTGAGAG